CTCGATGATCAGGCTGGTCAGGTCGGGGAAGCGGGCGGCGGAAATCGGCAAGCCCGTCAGCTCGTCGTACAGCGACGCCATCTTCAAGTGCAGGTGCTGCAGCCCTTTGCCGAGCTCCAGGCGGCCGGGCGAGTACTGCAGCTGGGTGGTTGGCAGCCCCAATGCATTCCGGTCAATGCAGTTCAGAATCGCCCGGATGTGCTTCAGGCGGCAGTTGACGATTGTCAGGGTGCGTGGCGCCAGCACAGGCGTGGCCAGCGCCAGCGTCAGGTACTTGTACTTTGTATAGGTCTCGGCCTTATTCATCGAGTCCATCGACATCACCACGTGCTCCAGGTACCGGCACCGGTGCTCGTAGAACTGCTGCACGGCGGGCGTCGGCGACAGCAGCTCGGGCACCTGCGCGATAATGTCAGTCGCCTGGTTGCGCTCCTGCACAGTCTTGAGCTTGTGGATTGAAAACACCTCCAGCCGCGCCGGCAGCATCTGCCACACGCGGTAGTCGACAAGGTTCGGGAACATGTCCGACTCGCACAGGATCTTGTGCCAGGAGATGCTGAACCGGTTCGGCTCCGGCTCCCACGTGCTGTACTCGAGCGACACATGCGTCACTGCCGGCCACCCGAGGTTCAGGCACGCCGTGATATCCGCGCCATACGGCGACTCGACTGGCAGATTCCACACCGACAGCATGGTGATGTGCTCGCGGTACAGCTCGTGCTGCTGCCGCACCGAGTTGAACCCGCCAAAATTCATCCAGTAGCCGACTTCGAATACCGGCACGCAGTTCTCGACGAAGATTTCGGGCACCGGCGGCAGGCTCGCGATGTCCTTGGCTACATTGAACGACAGGTTCTTGTCGCGCAGTAGCGAGGTGTGCCGGAACAGCCGCGCCTGCACCTGCGACCCTTCGTCCTGCTTGCCGGGCCCGTCCTCTTGCGGCGATGGCATCGCGTAGCTGACACGGGTGGCCCGGTCTGGCACCTGGCTGTTTCCTGCCTGCTGCTGCTGTTGCTCCTGCTGCTGATTAGCAGTCTCGTAGGTATACTCATCTGGCGCCGCGGGCATGGCGTAGGTGGAGGCCTGTGGATACTCGGACATGATTTATATATACGTAGCCACCCAGAGATGTGGATATGGATAAAGGCTGTGAGGGAAATAATAGTAGAGAAAAGGTGAGCAGCGGAGGCAAAAGGGACAAGCTGCCAGGTCTACCTCTTGAATAAATATTGCCCCGCCGCGCAGAAGCAAGAATACAAAAACGGGGGCTGTCAGCGACGCGAGGTGCAGAAAAATCAGCACGAAATGCGCTGTTGTTTTTCTGTTCTTTAGCGTGACAATCGAGGTCGACACTTGCAGGGACATGCATGTCAGCAATGTATTTTTAGCCCACCGCTTTTTAAACCGCGATAGCTACACTGAGAGATTAGCCCAGAACCAGGCCACGCCAATAATAGCTTGAGCAGTCTGCAGGCTCACAGCCGGTGTGGGCTACCGACTGCCGACTGCTCTTTGCTGGCCAGCACCGAGCTGCGCGACCTCTGCGGCGTAGCCGCCAGCGACTGGGCGCCAGGAATGCGCATGGCGACGTTGGTCTCAACAGGCGCATCAGTCAGATACAGCCTCAGCTTCTCGTCGGGTACCTCGAGGTGCGACATCTGCTCGCTCATCTCGACAGCTGCCAGGCGCACCATGTACTCCAGCAGGCTCAAGATGCACTTCCGCCACTCTTGCGCCAGGAATTCGACTGGCCGCGCCAGGTCTGCATACTCCAAGTCCTGCGACCCCACTATTGGGCCGCTGTTTACATCAGCACCTGCCCCAATGCTGCACGATGACTCGAGAGCATCGCCTAGGGCGTCGATCTTTTCCGATGACGACGCTGGCGACGGCTCGGCAGAGTCGTCCTCAGAGTCGCTGTCGCTGTCGCTCTCCGAGCCGTCAGGTGCATCGTCGGCCTCGTCCAGCACCTCCAGCGCGTACCACTTGTCAACCTGCGACTCTCGGATGGTCTGTGCGTCTTCTTCACCTTCGTCGCCCTCACCATCGTAATTTCTGCCTGCTCCGGTCTGGAAATGCACCACCAGCACTGGCGAGTTCGACTCCTCGATGTTGAGCAGCGAGCCCGCCGACGTATAATGCATGTTGGCAATGCTGTCCAGTCGCATGCGCATGACTCGCCCAGGCTTCACCATGCTGCCGCCGCCAGAGCAACCTTGTCGCTGGCTTCCTCGTCCTCGTGGTACCTGCCGTCATTCAGATCCTCAATGATCCGCAGCTCGTACTGCAGCGCATCAGCCGCCTCCTTGTCATCGGCCGGCACCCGCCACAGCTCCGCCTGGCACTTTGCATATTCCTCCTTCCACGTGAAGTCGTTCCGTGTCTTTGGTCTCACGGAGCCCACAAACAGGCTATACAGCCTCAGTGAAAACGGCTCACCCACCAGAACCTCCTTCTTCGCCCTGTTCGCCTCAAACCGGCCCGTTGTCCGCGACAACAGTACTGATGCCTGCATCAGCCGCCCCGGTGACACGCCTGCTGGCATCGCTCCGCCCAAGTGCGCTCCCGATGTCGTCAGCGCCAAATTCAGCAGCGGCACAGCCTCCTCAATCTTAGCCAGCAAGCTATTCAAGTCACTCATGATGCTCTGACTTAGCTCCGCCCGCTTTGCTCCTGCCGCTTCCAGCCTTTCTAGCTTTTCGCTAAACCTCACAATATCCGCCGCAGCCCATGCGTCAGCTGCAAAACGCTCGTCATCGTCGAGTGCCCGCGCGCTGCGATGATCTCGATCAGGTCGATGGCTGGCGTCACAATGCGCAGCTTGGAGGCAAAGCGGGAGCGTAGTTGATCCAGTTCGGATGGCCCCTTGGAGGAGAGCTCCGGCAGGCTCTTGACGTATTCGGTGACGCGCTTCATAGCGATCGAACTGGCAGCACCGAATGCTGCCTTGCCGACCAGCTTGACGGTTTGCATAGCAAGGCTGGAAAAGAGTTCGTCCATTTGGGGTGGTTGAATTGGGGTGTTAGAGTACAGGAAATGTCGTGCATTAGGACAGCAAGGACCGAAGCGGCTGCATCGCGAACCAGCACTAGCCGGCTTGTCGTAAACAAAGCAGATGCTGTGATCAAAATCACTCTGGGTGCGACTCAGATCTATCACGCCTTTGTTGCTTTCGCGCTGCTTGTGTCTCTAGCCCCTGCTTCCTATTTTTGCTTTTCATTTACGTTCCAATGGCTACCAGCCGCGCAATTACCGAGGCAGTAGAGCAGCTGCTAGACAGCGACCTGTGCGACTCTGCGCTGCAGCTGGCCGAGCTTGAATGCACGCCGCGCCTGGCCGACCCTGCTCTGCCAATAGCCGAGCGGCTGCAGTTGCTCGATACTCTCAGCAAAAGCCAGCAAAGCAACAGGCACTATCGCCGGGCGTTAATGACCCTGACAAAGTTTGTCTCAGGCCCCGCCCGTGCCCAACTGTCCCGCGACCAGCTCGAAAGCGTGGCGCGCGACATCGCCAATATCCGCTGGCAGCTGAAGGAGTACGACATGTGCCTTGCGCAGCTGCGTCAGATCCCCACAAAGCACAGGCGTGTGCAAGACATTGCACGAATGGCAAAATGTGCGGCACTAGTGAATAGCCCGGATGCAGCAGACCTGCACGAAGCGCTGCTGGAAGCCCAGCCGAATGCCGTCGAGGCGTATGCATATCTGAATTCGGCGAGGGGGACTGCTGAGCGGCCAACACCATATATGGCTGATGGCAATGCGTACCATGATGTGAAGAGCCTGACGGTTGCAAACAGCCTGGTTGCAAGGCTTGCCTATGCGGAGGCGATCAAGGAGTTCCAAAAGATGCTGAGGAGACACCGGGACTCAGCACCGCTCCTGGCTCAGCAGGCAACCTGCCACTATATGCTGAACGATGTGAGGAAGGCGCGGGCACTGTACGAGAAGGCGCTGCTGGTGGATCCATCGCTGATGCTCGAGATGGGAACATATTCGGACCTGCTGCAGTCGTGCGACCAAGACGCGTACTCCGTGTACCAGCTCGGCACCGAGTTGCTCAAGACCGACGAGACACGGCCCGAGGGCTGGGTGGCCATGGCACGGTATCTGATGATGGCTGGCCAAATGCAAGAGGCGCTGGCAATTGTGTGGAAGGCGCAGACGCTGGCTCCCGATTCAGCCGATGCATTCTACGCCGAAGGAGCCATCCAAATGGCATCGGAGTGCTCCGAAGAAGCTGCCGAGGCGTATCTGAAAGCACACAGCCTGAAGCGCAGTGCTCTGACATACCGCGGTATAATGGATGCGTATTTGCAGTGTGGGCGGTACAAGGACGCGTTTGTTGTCGCCAAGGAAGCGGCAGAGCTGATGCCGAACCATGCAGGCACCCTGGCCATGATCGGTCGAGTCCTGTCACACAGCCCCGAGAGCTACGACAGGGCTGTTGCTCTGCTGAAGTCGGCGCTTCAGATTGACCGGCGATGTGCCGGTGCTGTCGAAGCGCTAGCATCGCTGTACGGGTCGACTGGGCAGCACTCCGAAGCCATTGCCATGATGGAAAAGTTTCTGCCCGAGAATGAGTCCGACGCACTGTACACAGTGTACGCCGACATCCTGACGCTGGCCAACGAGCTGCCGAGAGCAGCGGAAAACTATGCGGTGGCACTGGATATGAATCCAAACAACGAACGAGCACGGATTGGGCTAGACCGTGTGGACCGCTTGATGCATCCAGATACAGAGAGGACCCAAGAGGAGCTTGATGATGAGATTGGCGAGCCGATCGACGAGCCTTTGCCGCCGAGCGACCAGGACGATATGATGCTGGCCATGATGCGCGAGGAGCATGGGCTCGCCACTCGGCCGCAGTTTTACCGATAGCGATATGCTGTAGCCGGTGCACCCCATATGTCTGTGAGTGGTCACTACAGAGGGCATTGCTTACGCTTGTAATATATGATGGAGATGGCTTCGACATTTCGTCTTGCTGCTACTATAATGCCAGAGCCATATCTTTACCAATACCATATCTCGGATAATGCTATTCAGACGCAGTGCCTGGCCAGCGGCTCGCCCGAGGAAGATGGCAATTTTTACAAGTCTGTCAAATGGTCGCCCGATGGGACATCGCTGGCCGCGCATACCGAGGATAACGCATTACACATATACAACGTCTGCGATATAGTGGATAGCATTGCGCAGGGCAGCGTTTCGGCAGATACAGAGTGCCGACAGATATCGCCAGCCGCTGCAATCCCACATGCCGAACGCTTCATTGATTTCTCGTGGTACCCGTACATGCACCACGCCACACCGTCTACCTGCTGCCTTGTGGAATCAACACGCGACCACCCACTGCACTTGCGCGACACCAACTACGGGTCTGTACGCGCACACTACGCGGCCTACGACTCGAAGGAGGTTCTAATGACCGCCAACTGCACACTATTCTCGCCTGACGGTAGCCGCATATACGCCGGATATCAAAGGAGCATCGGAGTGTTTGATACTCAACGCGCCGGATTGCCCATCTCCCTGGATAGCACCTCGCCAACACGACGCAGCAAAGACGGGGTGCGCGGGATAATCTCCTGCCTTGCCTTTTCGCCGACGTCGCAAGTGCTTGCATGCGGGTCGTTCAGCGGCCAGATAAGCCTGCGCTCTGCAGACTCCACCACAGCTTCTGTATGGCCTGTGCCAGCTGAATATGCCGGCCAGGGTGTTGCCCATCTGCAGTGGTCGCCTAACGGCATGCTTTTTGTGGGCAGCGCCGCGGCAGTCACGACATATTGTTGCCTGGGACGTGCGGGATTTGCGTGGGCCCTACGCGGTCGTTGAACGCCCGGCAACGACACAGCAGAGGATGGCGTTTGACTTTGACACCATGGGCAGGTTCCTTGTTGCTGGACAGATGGATGGCTCGCTGGCATTCCATGACATATGTGGGCTGGACAGCGCCGAGGACAGGGGCGTGGCAAGGGTTCCGGCCCATGACGACTTGGTTGCTGGGGTTGCATGCCATCCACACTACGCACTGCTGGCGACGGCTGCGGGCCAGCGCAGGTTTTCCGACTATGGTGACGACGAGGCTGCGGCGGCGGGGCGCAGCGTGTGCTCGCCCAGCCTCAAACTTTGGTCGCTGGGCGCCCAGTATTTTGAGCGCGAAATCCAGGCTTAAAATATTTTCCAGCTAGACTCTCTCCTCTCGTTTCTCGTTTCTCGTTTGTTACTATAGCTCCCTCCTTTACATTCTGCTCCTTGCAAGACTTGCAGCCCTCATTTCGTCGCAATTATGACCGTGGAAAGCGTTACAGAGGTACAGAGAAGGATGCCAGCAAAGCCCCTGTCTTCACAGCTCTCTAGACAGCCAAGGGCGCATACTGGAGTCGCACAGTAACACGCTGGTTGAAATTTGCATGCATTTCACAGTCGCTAAGAGCCAGCTTTCGCCCTGTAGCCAATGCCTCCAAATGACCTGACGCGGCTTAGCCAGTTCATGGCCGACTGCATGAGCATAGGTGCCTTGAAGGTAAGACAGCGACATGCTGTTGTTTTCCAGCAGCCCCTGCTAGTCGCGGGTCAGCTGAGAGACCAAGCACTGGCAGCTTATTGCGGTGTATTTTGTCTGCTTGTAGGGCTTTGCACATTTTACAATGTATATTCGCAGCCGCGAGGAGGTCATAATGCGTATCTACCGCCGCGATGGGGTGTCCAAGCAGACTAAACCGCCAGTCTCGAGCCTAACCATATGCGATTACGTGTAAGTGCATGCCAGGCATGAGCTGCGTGATATGCGGTGGCACTGAATGCCTACCCTGATAGCAAAACCCTAATGCCTATCCTATCCCGGAAAACTCTAATTGTAGCGACAAGATCCAGGCCACCGATGAGACAAAGCAAATGTGAGTTGCCCCAGGCACATTGGGTGCTGCATGAGCTGCATGAACCTATCCCCTCCCAAAATGAGATGCATGCATTTGCGTGCGAGTCAATATCCCGCAACAATGTGTTTTTGCTCAATGTGCTCACCCACAGGGGATGTATCTGTAGGATGAATGAGGCCAAGAAAGACATGGAGCAGCCGTTTGACATGTCAGACAAAAAACCTCGAGGACGATAAGGACGGGATCAGCTTCATGCTTGCCGGTTACCCGCGGTACCGGTGTCCGTATGTCTGGCCCAAGACGGACCACGAATCGCTCCTACATACTGGCCGCAACCAGCGCCTGGGGCGCGACCTGCCGCTGAAGATGGAGACGGTTGAGACGTGGCGGGTGTTTGACATCCGGCCCTGGGATATTTTGGTAGAGCTCATAGTTACTGCGGTGAACCCACCCCCGGAGAACCCGTTCCTGGTGGACCACGACTACTTCGATGCACTGCCAATTGAGGAACGTGTGGTAGTGACTGGCGCGATGCTGGAGTTCCAGCGCCGGATCTACCTGAGACACTACTACTCAGCAAACATGGTGTTGGATGACATCAAAGAAGCTGCAGCATAGGCACTTCCGCGACATCAACACACTGCGCGAGTACCAGCAGTCTATGTCATTCCGTGAAACAAAGTCGTGAGCTAATAGCGGCGCACATGTCTAATACACTGTTGTTATTACATTTGTTCCCAAAAGTGTGGCCGATGTAAATGATCTGTGGTATTTACTCCTGGATGCCTTTGACAGCAAACGACAAAGATACCCCATCGATTAAATGGTTCATTCCTGCCACTGTTCCCTCGACAGCTTGCTGCCGCTGCACGCTCAAGTTCGTTTCTGCAACATGTGGTGCATGTTGCAAGACGCTTCCATATGTGACAGCGTTCTGTTTATCAGAAGTGGATGTGGCGTCATGCTGCGGAGTGGCAATCAGCTTTGAGATCATACTCTGCAGCTCAGCACTGCTCATCTGGCTCAGATCCAGTCGCACCGGCTTTGGTGAACACACGGTCCGTGAGCATGGTGGGGTCTTCTCGTTGGCATTGTCGACTTCATCCACACGGTTGGACAAAAGACTTGACAACAACTGCTCTGACCACTCGAAATTGTGCCGATTTTGCTGTTGCTGTGGCCGCTGCTGTTGTTGCGAGCTATCAGCCACGGTCGACTCAACGCCAGAGACAAGGCCATGGAGGAGCATATCGATATCGGCCTGCTGGAATTGACACGTTGCTAGGTGTGTTCGAGGCGGACTGTTGGTTTGGCGCTTTGGTGACTGAGTGATCCCAGCGTCTGGAAGTTGCTCCTGAGACATTCGAGGACGAGCATCGTATGCTGTTCGAAGTGTCATTCAACTGTTGCAGATGGGCAAAGCGAGATGTAGGTTCGCCCAACCGCTCTATTGGCCCAGCAACCTCTGCACTCCACTGAATTTGTAACCGGATGGTTGGTTGCTGGCCTGTGATACGGGTTGCTCATTGCTCATCTCTGTAGCATGCTTAGGTGCAGGGTCAATGACGATACCCTCAGATTCGGGTGCGCTGGCCTGGCTATGCCATGGCTCTACGCTAAAACTGCCTAGCTGCGTTTCCAGTGTTCCACATCTGGTGACTTGCGCCGTTGTAGGAGTCGAACAAGAATTGGCGCGGCGGCCCATCGGACGCATCAACCGACATTCTTCTGAAATCCATGTCTCTCGACTGTTGCTGCTGCTGGTGTGGATCCCGACAAGTGCATTGACCATCGAAATCGCCGGTCCATTTGCCCGGGGATTGGCCTGCTCCAACGTCCGGTAATGGTCGCTCTCAACCATCTTGAGATCTGGTGGGCTATAGGTGGTCTGTTTGATCACGTCATTGAAGAACCCGTGCAGCTTGCTGTACATATACGTGAACCCCACATATGAACTGCAACGAGGCACGATCCATGGGTCTGGGTCATTCTCGTGCTCAATCAGCAGCTCCGAGTCGCCATCCTCGCTGATACCGCTGGCTTGTTGGCTGCAGCCGCTGTTTCTTGCGCAGGTTAAACACATGGTGCAGCACCGTGATAGTAGCACTATTAAAATGGTAGTACTGGTCAGCCGCAACAAGCATCTTCAGGTGGACTTCAAGGTCGCGCCTCGACTGCTCGGCAATCGCGCTATCGTCGCACAATGCGCATTGACATGGATGGAAGGCCCTTGAACAGACCAGATTCCAACATGCGGGCCCCAATACTCAGCAGACAAAGACTCCATTGCCCAGCGAATAACGTCAGCTTGCTTATGCGCTGCCTCAATGCACACCGCTTTGGCTCGCTGAATCATCTCGGGACTGATCTTTTCGTAGGTGTATGACGGCATTCGGAGCGATACAGGATGATCTTGGCACCGTAGTACATGATGTGCAGGTCAAAGTAAATTGAGTAGATGTTAGTTGTGCCACTAGCACCGTCGCCCAGGTTTGCGTAGCCGCTGAGCAGCCATTCCGTACGCGGCGGGAACTCCAAGTACGGAACGAAGCGCCCGCGGATGGACTCCAGCTCCTTGTCGAGTGCATCGAAAGTGGCGCGGCGGGACAGATCCGACGGACGCACAGGTCTCCTTCTGCGATTCGCAAACTCGGCAATGCGCCCGCCAATCCGGTACATCTCAACGACCATCCACCAGTAGTCGGGGATCTGTGCAGGCAACTCGTTCTCATCTGGAATTATGCCCATTATCCAGTTGTAGTCGCGGCTCGGCAGATTGACTACGATATCGTCATCGTGCACGGTTGCTGGCCGTGATGCGACGATTACCGACACTCGCTCTCCACAATAAACATACCACCATAGCCTCCGGCGCCATTCAGCTTCAGCCCAGCAGCGCGAGCTGCCGTTGGAGTTCTCGTTAAAATCCTCCTCATCAATTAAATGCAGGCGGCATCGCTGGGCAAGCCGTGTAGCCATCCCTATAATTTGAACCCCCGAGCTGAAAAGGACATTAGCAGACTGCACCATATGCAAGATGACGGGGCATTATAAAGCGCATACATGAAGATACAATTGTCAAAGCCGTAATAGTGGCCAGATGCCTTCTACTGTCGCCATTGTTGGTCACGAACAGAAACTGCATAATTGATATTGGCTGTCATGGCGCAAAATGTGCAATTTTTTTAGAGACAGATGTTGCACCAAGACATGAACACTGCACATGACACGATGAAAACATGTTAGCTTGCTTGCTCGTCTTAATGTTAGCACTACCATTGATATAGCAGTATTTTGCTTACCATTGTATGTCCACGCCGATTCGCCACGTCCACAACCCCACTCATATGTCGACAACATCATAAGACATTCAACCACATTAGGGCTAGGTCGATCGACCAGGCCGGAGATGAGCTCGGCCGATCGCTCGGCAAAAGCACGGCCCGCATTGTATTTGGGCGAGCACACGAATTCAGGGCGACTGCTGAAACGCGCCCCCAGAGCAATGATTGCACAGATGGTAAATTCAGGTAGCTCTCCCGAGCGAAAGCGTTCAATTTGCAGCCTCATTGTGGTCGGGGCGCCATCGGCGTGACTTGCTTGACCACAAATCCTATCATCTCCTCAATGATGTCTGGCGAAGGCAGCTTGAGAGCTGGGCGTTGGCTGCATGGCTCGTGCGGAATTCTCTGATCGACGGGCAGGTAGATTTGCGCACTGTTCTGGACGAGGGGCGAAGTGCGGCCCTGTGTCACATCCATTGCCAAGCTGGTAGGGAGAATCCGCTCGATGAGCGGTTGCAGAATCCGCTCCATACACTTGATGCGCTGCTCCAGGTTGCCAACAGCACTGCGACGTCTGCGTCTCTTGCGGACCAGTGGGCTGTAGTGGCAAGCCAGCCTCATATTCTTGCATTGCCAGCACAGGGCTTCGTGCTATCGCACTTTATTTTCTTGCGCCGGCAGCTGTCACATGCCTGCAGTAAGCGCTGCTGCTTGCGGGATTCGGCGTCGTCATGCTCATCCAGCTCGTCGCTGCCATTATCAATAACACTCTCGCTGTACTGCTGCCTAATGTCAGCGTCTGGGTCCTCGGACGAGATCATGAGCGACGATGGTGTGACTTTGTGACTAACCATTTGCATTCGTTCGCGCAGTGGCTGGCTTGTCGTTTCAATTGTAACAAAATGGCAAAGAAATAGTAGGAAGAGTATGCAAAATGTGTAGCGATAATGTGTGATAACGTATGCTTTTGCTGGCTAAGAGAAAGAACGAGAGAAAGAAAGCGCTAATGGCAGAGTGGACAGCATGTCTCGTAGAAAATGGATGAAGATTGGTTGATATGGACCAAGGGGGAAAGGGAAAACGCATGCTCCGGATCGCCAGAGTGACGCTGCCGAAGCTTCTTTGGCACGTCGCTAGATCCCATGCAATAAAGCCCGCACGGCCAAAGATAAAATATTGCTTTTGCTCCATATTCAGATCGTGGATTTTGTTGGATTCCACCAAT